CAATTTTGAATTGTGAGTTGTAACTCACAATTCAAAATTGTGAGTTACAATTTTGTAACTCACAAAATTACAACTTTTTGTAATTTTGAGTTGTTACAAATTACAAAAAATTAATTTTTGTAATTTTGTAACTCAAAATTACAAAAAGTTGTAATTTTGTGAGTTACAAAATTGTAACTCACAATTTTGAATTGTGAGTTACAACTCACAATTCAAAATTAAGACAACTTGTCTCTTGTTGTTAAATCAACTTCATGAACTTTAATTCTGAGTTAAAACCAAATAAATTTTCTTGTTGAGTTAAATTGCTTTTTCCAGGCAACAGGTGAACTTTCATTTTCAAGTTCAAATGTTTTACAGTACATGAATAACTTAATATGTGCTCATTTCTCCACAGAAGTCAGAAAGCTGGGCTAGCCACCCAAAAGAAACCTAAGCCCGTCTCATCTCGGTCCTCCTCCTCCTGTCCCCGTCCATCAGCCGTCTCCGGTCCACACGGCAGCCCACGGATGCCGCTACGCGCCCTGCTGGGAGGCCGGCGCAGCCTTAGCTCCACCCACTGCAGGACTGACAGCCCCTCTCCTCAGAGGACGTGCCCATCCAGGCAGCCCCTCTCGGTTCGGGCCCCCACTGTCCCCATGCTGCCACCCAGAACTACAACTATGCGTCGCAGCGCCTCCCAGGAAGCCACCGCGCAGACCTCCACAGCCGCTGCGCCTGCCAGGCCCAGGCCGAAACCCGCCGGCGGGGCTAAAGCGAAAGCGAATGCCAGGGATAAGGCGGTGCCTGCTAGATAATACAGAGGCACTCGGATCCGAGACCTGTTGGTGTGTTATCAGTCTCCTGTCAAGTTACGCCTCAAAGGTTTTCACAGCAAGAGACTCTGGTGTTACAATAACTTCAAATTCATCTAATGGAAACGGACATTGTATGTTTTTTTGAAGGACACCGAACTGAACTGTATTTGGGCTTCCAGTTTCCTGACTGACTGTCGTTCAGGAGCTTTGCTGCCACGGTGCTACGGATGCCTCTGCTGCTCCCTGGTTGATCCCTGAGTTAACTTCTTCTTCTTCCTCCAGCCGAGAGTCATGGCCCCCGTTTTCAGATATTCTCACATAACACAGTATTCCCAGCTTTCCACAACTATGCTAGTCTTCTGTCGACGATACTCTGCTTGGTTCACATTGCATGGTAAAGTATATCACAAATGCATTGAATCTGTACAGGGAAAACTGTATTAAAAGTGACTTAATATAGATCTTCCCATCTTATTTTCCATAAATAAGCCAAATTGGAGTGGATTTAGCGCCGAGTTATGTTGGCATGTAGAAGATTCCCAAATATATTCTGAACTGGCAGTGAATGAAGAGAAGCATAAGAACGGACTCCAAGAGAAAGCGTTCGGCCGCTCGCCTCCTCCTCATGGTGTGACATTGGGCATGCTTTAAACATTCTATTTTTGAGGGTATATTTTGTTTATTCCCTAAAATTGTACATAACAGAATCATTTCCATGAAAGACATCTTTATTTTTTATCTTGCCAAGCAAATAGTAAACCCGAGTCTTTAACCTTGTGTTCCAGTGTGTTGGTAATAGGCCTTTTTTTTTCTTCTTCTTTTGATCGCATGAGAAAAACAGGGTTTAACCATGAGAGGAAGTTATTCCTGCTTAGATTTGGTGCAAACTTGTGCTGAATGTTGGAGCCTGTGTTAGTCTGGGGCTGCAGGGCACTGAGCTGTGAAGTAAAGTCTTGGTGATGTGGAGCCTGTCTTTTGTTTCATTGTTTTTCTCACACACACAAACAGAGGCAAACTGGGAAATCACAGAACTGCCGGTGCTCCATTTTTTTAATCTACTGTTTCAGACTATTACATAGTAAGTATAATAAATTTCAGCCAAAACAACTTTTAGATTAATCTAAGAAACTTCCTAGAGAAAGACTTCTGAAAACTTTCTGTTTGAAAAGTCAAAAATATTGTAGAAAAATTTGCGGAGATTTTGACATTTCTGAATTTCAAAAGAAAGTTGAAAGTGTTTCAATTTAGAACCTCAAAAATTTCCAAGTTTTTTCTAGAAAATTTTAGATGAATCTCAAAATTTCAGTTTTTCTGAGAAAAATTTCAACTTTTGAAATTCAGTTTTTTTTTTAAATTTTTTTATTTCTTAGATTTATCTCAAAATTCCTGAGTTTTTTTTTTATATCAAATTAGTAGTTTCTGTTCTTATCAGTTTAATATCTGATATGTCTCCACTTGGGGACTGTATCTTAAATTGTTTTTTGAAACAGGGAGATGGAATAAGGGCTTGCTCTGTCCACTCCACACATCATCTTGGTATTGCAGTATTTCCAGGATTGGTGCACTTTCCTACTGTGGCGACATGAGGGTATGAATCTGATACTCTGCTCCTCACACCAGGGTAACCAGAAGTTGTCAACAACGCCACCTTGGGAATTGCACCCAAGGAAATAGATTGTCATTAGGCACTCGAGGTTCGTGACCAAAGAGAACAAGACTTTTCCAAAAGTTAATTACATTTTATAGTTTTCATGTTTGTTTTTTAAAAAAAGACTATCAAAATATAAGGAACTACAATAGGAAGGGAAGTGCACAGTACTGAGGCCTACCAGCAGGGGGAGGGCGGACCAAATGGGAACTGGTTCCTAAAATAAATGTATAAATCCAAAATAAATCACTCCAAACACTTGAAAACAGGCATTCAGTCGTGAAGAAATACCAACACCGGCCACTACACAACACACAGTTCCAGTCTCCCTGTAGGCCCCTCCCACTACCTTCAGCTCTCAGCCTGGAGACAAAAGGGTGGGGTTAAACATTCAAAAAAAAAAACAAAAAAAACAAATACTACAATTTAAACTTGGCCAAAGACTAAAATGAGGTTGCCTCCAACAGAATCAATTACAAATATCAATAATTTAATAGAATAGTCTAAAAGAACCCAAGGCTGCCACCTGCAGCAAGGCTGGAGGCCACACAAAACAATAGAAAGCTTGTGTACCAAAAAACTAAGAAACCAAACGAGATAAAACTAATTAAACAAAGTCAACCGAAGAAACAAAGTAAAGTTAAACAAAAAAAAAATTAAACCAAGCAGTGAAACAAAACAGCAGGGTCTCCAGTGAGCTGCAGCAGTGTCAGAGCTGGAATTAAATCAAAGTTAATAGGTGATTTACAGAAGATGGTGGAAGGCAGAGGAAACCATCGTCACCTACCAGAGCTGGATGCCTTCACCCCAACCAAAGAATCCTTTCCAGCCCACATCGGGAGGATCAGCTTGGCAATATGTGCTATATATAAATAACTGTCATTGTTGTGTTATGGAGAAGTATGGGTGCAATAAAACAATTCATACCTGTTTTATGCTAAAACTACACTGGGGAGGGTGAATTGCAGTCACACCCCAGTACCAAGCAGGAGACTTACAGTGTTTTCTAGATTTAAACAATTCAAGTCAAACACTGAAATTGTAGATTTTATGCAGAAGGAAAAACATTACTTACTGATGTTAGAGTTTTAGACCTGCACGCTACACAAGCGACCTTCCCAACAACGTCTGACCAAATGCGAGCATAAGCAACCAGTTGAGAGTCTCCCTTTATACACTCCACCCATCACGAGGTGATTAGGGGTCAGGTGTTTTGAATATTAGGACTGGCTTCTTCCTGCTACACTACCTTTGTGAAGTAATAAATGCTATTCAGCAGGCATTTAAAATGAGAATGTAACTCTAATTTCAGAGATCAAGAATTTCAACAAGTTCTGTGGAAATGTACTCCAAAAACATGTATGGAGAAAGAAGCAGTGAGAGCTGCAGTTTGGTCTCATGTCCGCTAGAGGCTGCTGTAGCAGTTGTTAAAAATCTGCCTTGCCAAAAACCAAATTTTTCTAAACTTAACATCTTCTTTTGCATAGAACGAACAAGAAAAGAATTGTACACACACATATGTATTAGTGCCACAGTAATGTATATGTCTTCAGAAATGATGTGTTCATATTTTCACCAACACCAAAAGAACGGGCCGTGTTATGGCTTCTCCGCTGCCTATTGGACTAAAGCAAACCACATGACTAGAAATAAGCAACTTGATTTGACTATGGTTGCTCAGTTTTAGCTCGATGTGATTTAGTTACAATAACTGATTGCTTTGGAACAACATAAAATGTCAACATATTTCCC